TTGCCTTGTCTAGCCATAATATAAGGAAAGGTGCCTAGTCTTATTGAAACTTGATATGCCGTGCTTGGTTGATATCCCTGGGAGGACTGCCCTTTTCTGAAGGGAAAGGAGTAGGAGTGGATGGGGGAGGGCCATTGGGACGGGAGAGGAAACTGTGAGGTGGATGTAATATATAAGAGAATAATAAATTCATAAATACACACAGACACACAGACACAGACACAGACACAGACACACACACACACACACACACACACACACACACACACACACACACAGGAAATAACCCAATAACCTGAACAACTTCCACATGGGGATGCTGTCACTGTAAAAAGTGCTTGGTACCTACATTTTTTTAATGCATGTTAGCCAGTTATTATACTATCTTGTGAACCTCTTGAGGACAGAAACCATGGATTCATTCATTCAACAAGAGATTTTCACCCATATGCACTGTACCTATAACTGGAGTTACCAAGATAGTTAATGTCCCAATGCCTGGGGTTGGGGGAGAGGGGAAGACTATTGGAGGCAGACAGGTACGTTTCTACTTAGTTGAGATGAGGACTATATGAGACATATGGACAATATGGAGGCCTGAGTTATCAGGGCTAATTCTACCCAAGAGGCATAAGTCAAAATGATAAGACCAAGATAGCATTTTAGGTTAAGTTCATATATTCTCTATGCTAAACATATATATTGAATGACATGTATACTCACATAGTATTCATATACATGGAAAATATTTATGTACAAACACAAATTATACATTATATAAATATAATATATATGACATATATATGTATTGTCAAATTGTTTTTGAAAGAAAAGATTTTAAGACTCCCATTATGATTATAGAACCATTATCAGCCTTACTTGATTTATGTCTTGCATGTTGTTTCATCCACTGAGTTTTAATCTTTTAAAAAATGAATCCATTGTGATAATCTCTGGTTCCAACAAATGACTTTAATTCATTTATGATTAATTTCATTTCTAACTTTAGGCATGTTTGTGTTTTATTTTGCAGCATCTTTCTCCTTACTAATAAATAACATTTGATATTTTTAAAGCAAGTATCCATAAGTCACAGCTGCTCTAATTATTTTGTGAGTCTTAAATACACATATATACACAAACATATCTATACATACACACACATAGTTAAGACTCACAAATCGTAATACACACATATACATGTATGTGTAATATATACATACATGTATGCACATATATACATATACACATATACATATACATGTTTGTTATGGGCTGAACTGTGTCTCCTAGTCCCCAAACCATACGCTTCATTATGTGACTATCATTGGAGATAGGACCTTTAAGAGTATAATTAAGTTAAAATAAGACCATTAGAATGAATCCTAGCTCAATCTGAGTATATTCCTATAAAAATGAAATTTGGATACTCAAACACATACCTGGAAATGTGTGCACAAAGGAAACACATGGGAAACATAATGTGAAGACATGATGAGACAGTAGTGATCATAGATTGAAGAGGGAGACCAGACGAATACACATTTGAGTGTGCATTTACTGCCGCTGGATCTCAGACTTGTAGCTTTCAGACTGAGGAAATGGTCTTCTGGTTGCTTGAGTCAACCAGTGTCTATGTGTGGTTATGACAATACTAGCAAGTGAGTACAATCTTAAATGATAACACGAGATGCATCCATCTTTAGTCAAAAAGCTTTTCCATTTCAGCATTTAGGAAAGTGCCTGTTTGTCTTTTGACAACAATGACTGTTCTTAAGTTACTATTGCTATTGGCCTCAGTGTTGTTCTATGACAGGTGCTCTATCCCTGTTCTCTACAAGATTTGAAGATGTTCTTATAGCCGTGATGTTACACACATCTTACTGATGTGCAATGCTATTTTTGACATTTGGCCTTTTGATACCCATCTATTATCTTCAGCATTGAAATATCGCAAGCATAATGTTTGGAAATATTGATCTTCCACTTTTCTCCAGAAATGAGCCATTAAGTAAATAGTTTGGCTAGAGTCCTAGCTGTGCAGCTGTTCCTCCTTCTTGAGCTTTTTGGAAACCACAATCTAAGGTAGCAGGTGGTATGACTTCAAGCTTCCATTCATGGATAGGAGAGTTCTACCCCAGACTGTCAGATCCAACACATGAGATTCAAGCTTGACCCTACTATGTTTTGCTCTCAACTGCCCACCTTATAATTGAGCTAGGTAGATTTTGATAGACCATACATGTAGCCCTTTATAAATGCTGTGTGTCTTGTTTTGTTTCTGGATTATAGAAATGGTTATCTTTTTATAAACCAATTTTTAAAACTTTTGAAATAATTTTGCACTTCTGGAAGAGTCTTAGAAAAAGATCTATAATTTTATTCAACTTTCTCTAATGTTACCCTCTTAGATAACACAAATGTCTTTGTATTTGCTTTTCTTTTGTAGTTAATGTAGTACTACTCTGTGCTTGGCACCAAAGGATAGTGGGAGTATAAACTTATCAAGGCACCTTCTAGACCAGAATCCTTCCATTGGCCAAACACTTAATCATCCATCAATTCATGCACTGAATATTTATTAATGTCTTATTATGTTCCAAACATTGTTCTAGGCCTATCAGAGGTAGCAGTGGTTAAAACGGTCAAAACTACCTGCCCTTGTATTGCTGAAATGCTAGCTTCAGGGCTGGAAAGATGGCTCTGTAGTTAAAAGCACTTGATGGTCTTTAAGAGGAACCTGGTTTGGTTCTCAACATTTACATGATAGCTAAAACCTTCTCTAACTCCAGTTCCAGGGAAATCTATGCCCTCTTTTATGTAGATAAAATGCCAATAGATGTAATATTAAAAAATACATGTCTTTAAGCATATATGTTAGGTTCAGAAACAAAGTAAAAAATAGAGAAATGGTAAGCTATACAGTGTTATATATAGTAATAGTGCTAGATAGGAAACATATAAAGAGGATAAGAAATATTTAGGCCTTTGGAAAAAACGTCAGAATTAAATATGGTGACTAGGAAGACTTTATTGGGAACTATTGAGTGAAAGATCAAAATGCTATAGTCTTCTGTCATCTTCAGGGAATCACTGTCCTCAAAAATAACCTTGAGAACTGAGTATCAGAACCATGAATGACCAAGGTTTAGAAGTACAAAGTAACTTGCTCTGCATATAGCCAATAAATGGAAAAACTGACTTGGACAGAGATCTTCCTGACCTCAGAGATTGTGTTTTCATCTGGGTGGTTAAGGACAGATCTACAAAGAGATGCATACATGAATTTCAAGGGATGTATTCTGGCCCTTTTATTCACAAAACTTCATAATCAGCCATGGTGTTCTCATAAACCTTTCAAGAAAACTCTAGAAGTCTATTTACAGAGTACTCGAGGTTTTTCAGCAAGATGTTTTAACTGAACTAGCTGAGCTTCATAAACTATGACTTTGACCTTGCTAACCAGTGGTGTAGGAACTTGAGTGGTCATAGCCAACCTGGGAGGTGGCCAGAGCCCCCGTGTAGCTATCAGATCCCACACAGAGAAACTAAGACTTCTTTCTAAATGTGTTTGTTCTTATTTTGCTACCCTGAACACACAGCATCCACTCTCACCAAAATATATCAAGGAAAAAGATCCCCTATAAGAAAATCCTTCTAATACTTAGAGATAAACAACCAGTTTATAGTATAGAAAGCTTGGGTTACAAGATAGTCTTTAAGGACAGAAGACAAACTTACTCTTGGAAAGGAATGCAGCAACAAGAGCTTGTGCCGAGAAGAGGTATCATAGGATCATTTTAACCTTTGATTCTTTTGAAGAGTTTAAACATAAATTGTCAACCTGGTCTTTGAGACTTGGAATCAAGTCTTGAATGATAGAGAGAAATGTAGATTTAACCATTATCCTGGGCCATTTCCCTTTCTATGACAAATTCCAAGCTACCCTTATAAATGTTTATAAAGTTTTTACTGCCAGGTCACCCTTACTCTTTGCTCTTTCCCCTTCACTCTCACCACTCATTCGTTTGTTCTGACTGTTGTACACAAGATCTGATATCCATGGGAATCTTCTACCAGGATGATTTTAATCTCATGTGTTTATTGTTCAGCAATGATCTTTCTCTTATCTTTGCATATTAAGAGGAGATGTCCTTGTTGAAAAACTCTGTTCGGGGATTCTTCACTGGGTAAGTTTTCCTAAACGTTTCAGATAATACTAAATCCTTGTGTTTCAGTGTTTCCATAAGGAAGAGAATAAGAGAGAAGAAAAGATGAGAAGAAATGGGGAAGGAGGCGAGGAAAGAAGAAGAGGAGGACAAGAAAGAAGTAGAGAAAGAGGAAAATGGGCTAATGTAAAGATAAGTGTTACTGTGACTTGCCCACAGTAAGCTCAAATGGGTGACTTTTTTTTTTTTTTTTTTTTTTTTTTTTTTTGTATCTCAGGCTAAGCAGTGAGGGTGTTTTTTTGGAGGGCTCGTCTTTTTTTTGTGGATATAAAAATTTAACCTTTTATTTTTTATTTAAATTAGAAACAAGTTTCTTTTACATGTCAATCTCAGTTCCCTCTCCCTCCCCTCCTCCCCTACCTCCCACCAACCCCTATCCCAACCTCTTTCTGCTCCCCAGGGAGGGTGAGGCCTTCTATAGGGGATCAAAGTCTGTCACATCATTTGGAGCAGGGCCTAGACCCTCCCCCGTATATCTAGGCTGAGAGAGTATCCCTCTATAGAGAGGGCTCCCAAAGTTCATTTGTGTGCTAGGGGTAAATACTGATCCACAGCCAGGCGTTGGTGGTGCACGCCTTTAATCCCAGTGCTTGGGAGGCAGAGGCAGGCGGATCTCTGTGAGTTCGAGGCCAGCCTGGTCCCAGAGCGAGTGCCAGGATAGGCTCCAAAGCTACACAGAGAAACTCTGTCCCAAAAAACAAAAAAAAAAAACAAAAAACATACTGATCTACCACCAGTGGCCCCATAGATTGTCCAGACCTCCAAACTTATGGAGGGCTCATCTTAAAACACATACCAACACTGCCACGTATTATGCATGCAGGTGGTTTTCCACACTTGGGAAAATTACACGGTCAGCATATCCAGAACATAACAGATGAGCCTCGCCTTGGGAAAATCACCTTTGTGATCACGGTATCTCCCCTGCAAGGTAAATTCAGTAGTGAGTTTTGCACAAGGATATGCTCAGCATTTCATTGTTTAACAAAGGTAACCGATGATTATTATTAACAATGAGCACATTAACGGTTAGTACAAGCTAAGTGAAACTCTGCTTGAACTCTAAAAGCAGGGTCTTCTGATGAGTGGCCCTACCGTGATCTTGCCTTGTACATTTGTCTGGAACTGTCTGTCCTGATTTTTTCTTTTCCAAATGTGACATTAACCCTAAGGTAAAGGTCAGATCAAGTTGAACTTTCTAAAAGTCATTCGAAATGGGCTCTTGACTCTTGAGAGTATATTTCCTCAGTGGTGGAGCAATAGGCATAAACTCTGGCATCAGCTCTTCCAGCCACTGCCAAAACTCTTATTTAGAAAAAGAAGTCTGTTTTAGAAAGTGAGTATGTTTTTCTCAATGTGTTCTAAAATACAGACAAAACCTCCCTCATAGGCTTTTATAAGGATTAAAAGAGATAATATATATATAGGACATCAGCACAAATGCTAATTCGGAATAAGTGCAAAATAAAAGATGTAATTATAATGGCTAATGGCAATTGCCTCTCTGTAGCCAGTGTCAGAGTTGAGCTATTTATTCTCAGTGGTCATTTCTTAGTCTGTATGTCTAAATCATGAAAGCTGTTCAGGCTGCTTTGTCCTCTTATGGTGTCTGACCTCTGATGACCTTTATCAACATAATAATATATTATTATTACTGCATGGTTCCTTCCTCTTCCAATCAAATGAGGGCACCCAGCCATTGATGGTGACCCTAATCACTTCTGAAGAGACTGTCTCCTAAAAAATAAGCTGAGGTGTAGGTCCTTAAAGAAAGCACAGCAATGCCACTTATGTATTAGTGGTTTAATTACAAGATGATCCTAGATTTACAAAAAGTTCTAACAGCTAACAAATATTGCTTGTGTCTATCACTGTGATAAGACACTATGACCAAGGCAATGTATAGAAGAATTTATTTGGGTCTTATGGTTTCAGAGAATTAGTATCCACTATTATCATAGCAAGGAACATGACAGCAGGTAGGTGTAATATTGGAGCAGCATCTAGGAGCTCACACCTGGACTGTAGTTGTTGTTGCTTTCATTTTTTTTAACTCTTTGGGGATATGCCACCCAGCTCCCAAATAAGTACACAGAGACTTATTCTTACATATGAACATCTGGTCTTAGCTTGGCTTGTTTCTAACCAACTTTTCTAACTTAAATTATCCTGTTTCTCGTTACCTACATTTTACCTCTGGGATTTTTACCTTTCTTTATTCTATATATCTTTCTTTCCTTCTTGCTCCATAGCTGGCTGTATGGTTGTCAGCTGGCATCCTCTTCTTCTTTTCTCACTCCTCACTCTTCTTTCAAGCCTTGATTTCTACTATTTATTATTTCTGCATGCCAGCCTCACCTTTTCTTTCTCCTGCCTATCTATTGGCTGTTTAGATCTTTATTAAACCACTAAGCTATTTTAGACAGGCAAAGTAACACAGTTTTACTATTAAACAAATGCAACATAAAGAATACAACATATCTTTTCATTATTAAACAAACATTGCACACCATAAATGAATGTAACACATCTTAAACTAATATTCTACAACACTGGATCCACCTGTAAGAAGCAGGGAGTGCCTGGAAATGGGGCGAGTCATTTAAAATTCTTTTGAAATGCCAGTTCCCAGTGACACACCTCCCCCAATTAGGTCACACTTCCTAATTCTTTCCAAGCAAGTTTCACCAACTGGGGGCCAAGTATTCAAATCAACACATTCCACTTTCTGGTCCCTATAGGCTTGTGGTCATATCATAATGCAAAATGCATTCAGCCCAACTTTAAAAAGTTCACATATTCTTTGAGTCTCAACACTGTTTCAAACTCTGAAGTTCAAAGTCTTGCAAGACTAAAAGAAATCCCTCAGTTGAAAATACCTGTAAAACAAAAAAAAAAAAAGCAAATTACATATTTCCAATATACAATGGCAAAGAATATACATTGCCATTCCAAAAACGGGCAAATTGGGGCACAGTGAGGAAATACTATACCAAAGCAAGAATGAAATCCAACAAGGCAAATTCTAAATCCTTTGATTCTACATCTGATGTTGGAGGGCTTAGATGGCTCCGCCCTCCTGGCTTTGGTGACTATAGCATAATTTTGTCTCTTGGATTGGTTGCATTCCTAGTGTATAGCTCTGCTTAGTAGATAGTCCATGGTTCTGGCATATCCAACATCCAATGGTCTTTAGTACTATCCAGCCTTCACTTTCACAGCTCCATTCAATGACCTTTTTGGGACTTCTTGCCTTCTTAGAATCATCATGCAGGGCTTGCCCTACCACATTTTGATTGTCCCCTAAATCTAGAACATGGATGATGTTACCAAATTTGGCTGCCCACTTGGGATAGAGTCTGGCACCTTGAAATCACATTTACAGTCTGTCACTAATGACACACCTCCACCAACAAGGCAACAATTCTTCCTAAACATTGCCACCAACTGGGGTCCAAGTATTCGAACACATGAGTCTATGGTAGCCATTCTCATTCAAACCAATTATCCCATGAACATGTTTTTCCTGGTCCAGCATCACAGGTTCCATTTCATGATGGTATATTCTTTACTTTTTTTGATATGAAGCACCTTCCACATCATTTTTTTTTTTTTTACTTTGTATTTGACTTAAGACCTAGATACTTTTTCAGCAATTAGTTTCATGTTGCCTCCTGGTTGATCCTTTTTTGCAGGCGTGTCACAGAAATGGTGCTGGATACTTTCCAGTTCATGGCACAAAGGGGCACATGAAGCCCACGTGTTTCATTATTGGAGATGCTAGCTATGATTCCTCCTCGGGCACTACTGGCTCTCTGTTGGTAGCTTCTTTGAACTGTTTTGTAAGGACCCAACAGAACAATTCATTACGGACACTTGAGCTCTTAAAACACACTTTTTACATTGTTCTTGTGCTGGATTCTATTTAATTAACTTTTGATTTTGCATTGCAAGACCCTGATATACATTAGAAGGTCACCACCCAGCCATTTATCTTTTAAAGTAACTAGACTGGTTATTTTTTTCAAAGTTCCATCAGGTTAAAACAGTTAGCAATTTTTCTCCTTGCAGTGTCCCTTCAGCCTGGACCAGACGGATAATAGATCAGCATAGGTTCAACTGCATTACAACATTAGTCATCAATTAGGTTTAAACCAGCACTGTAATATATCATTTATCTTGCCTGCCACAGCTCTTTTGAACATTTAATTTTTTAAGGCCTCTTAGGGTTTTTTCCCCTTCTCGTTTGAACTGGCCTCCTGCCTTTCTCCTTTGTCTCCAGCACAGACATCTCCTTAAGGAACAATAAAAATTAAATTTGTTTGACCTGCTCTCAGGGTTCATTTCAGAGAGATGGATTTTAATAGCTTTGACTGGTTGGGCAGACAGCTTTTATGCAATATTCCAGACATTTACTCATTTACTCACTGTCTTTTGCTGTGCCCTAAGCAGGTGTGTGTGTGTGTGTGTGTGTGTGTGTGTGTGTGTGTGTGTGTAAGAAGGTGGTTCCTGTGTGCCACTGAAGAGTTCCTGACTATTCCCTTCACATCAGTTAGTAGTCAGGGAAATTGCTTGCCCATACATGATGGGCATCTCATTAGGAGGTACAGTCATTGGCTATCTTTTCCCCATCTAATAGCCTCTTTTAATCTCTTCCATCCTACATTTATTACATTGTTAATTTAAAGAGATATCTTTGCTCAATGAGGTCTTTATAAGATGGCCTGGGTTGTAATGGGGTCTCTGCTTTTACATTACCTTCTTCATGAATATTCTGCTTCAGGCTCAGGATATTTTCTCATTTCAAGATAGACTGAGGTCATGATGAGAGCATGTGCTTATAGCCACACTACCCAGGACTTGAATTCTGATGGAGCCATTTATGAGGTGAGCCACTGTCTGGATTTGAGTTGGTGACCCTATGCTTCTGAAGCTTTTCGAGCCCACCTCATCAGAATAATAATACCTGACTCACAGTATAGTTGCCAGTTTTTCATTTGTCTGTTTTGATTTTTTTTTAGAAAGCCATGGGTTACTGTGGCATGCCAGACATAAATCCAGATATTTTTTGAGCCATAGAGATGACAGTCTTCATGCCACAAATATTTACTGAATATCTACTTGGTGACAGGTAATCTTCTAGGCAGGAGATGCAGCAATGAATGAAATAGACAAAACATTTGGCCCTCAGACATTCAATTTTTATGTGAGACAATAGCAGAAAAGGTAAATAAAGCACTGATCCGCTAGACAGCACTGAGCACTAAGGAGAAAAGATAGCACACTCAGTTGACGTTGTTAAATAAGATAGAAATATTAAATAAATAAATAAATAAATAAATAAATAAATAAATAAGACAGAAAATGTTTCTAGTATTTGACACAAAACCAAGTCTACATTCATAATTCTTATTCTTGCAAATCATTCATTTGCTATTTTGTGCATATTTTTAAAAGTTAAACATCACATCACCCATCTTTCATTTCCTCTCTCCAAACCCCCTTCCCCATGTACCCTACTGTCACAGGATCTTTGAGCAAACTGTTAAGATGTGTCACTGTTTTACCTTGCCTGCCTAAAGATACTGATTTTTTTTTAATAAAGAGTTGGACAGTCAGTTGATAAACAGGAGAGGTAAGGTGGGACTTCTGGGAAGAGAGAGGGACTCAGGATGAATCTAGGCACCCAAGGGAGATGCCACAGAGACAAAGAGGGAGTCCAACACAGATAATGAAAGAGAGGTAAAAATCAACATGGCAAAATATAGATTAATAGAAGCAGGTTAATTAAGTTATAAGAGCTAGATGGGAACAAGCCTAAGCTAAAGGCCAAGTTTTCAAAATTATTTAGTCTCCATATCATTATTTGGGAGCTGGCGGTCCCCTGGAGAAAGTCTGACAAGAAAGTCCTACTATATCCACTTCTTCCCTCTCAGAAT